TACGTATGGGCTCTTACGCGAAGCTGCTGATCCACTTTTAATACCAGCTCTGCGTTTTACCTCCCTGCTGTAACTAGTCCTGATGTTCTTCCACTTGCTCTGTAGAGATTTACCTGAAAATTATATTTGTTCTTTGTTACAGATATCTTGCTACAGGATGTTCTTTAATGGAATTGAGTCATAATTATCGGATTGGACATACAACTGTCCGAGATATCATACATGAAGTTTGTATGGCGATTTGGGAGAATATGAGACAGTCATCGTTTCCAGAATTAAATGAAGAGAGGTGGCTTGAAATAGCAAATGGTTTCAATGAAAATGCAAATTATCCCAATTGCGTTGGTGCCATCGATGGCAAGCATATAAGAGTGATAAAACCCAGCGATTCAGGGTCACTGTACTATAATTATAAAAATTATTTTTCCATCGTTTTACTTGCTGTATGCGATGCAGATTACAAATTCACATATATAGATGTTGGGGCTTATGGAAAATGTAGTGACTCATCGATATATAAAAAATCCATTTTGTATCAAAAACTTGTCAACAAAGATTTACAAATTCCGGAGAAGCGCCCCATATCAAATAATGGAGTACCGATGCCATACGTCATAGTGGGGGATGAGGCATTTGGCTTATGTGAAAATTTAATGAGACCTTATGGAGGTAGGAGTTTAACAGCGGAGAAAAGAATCTTCAACTATAGACTGTCTCGGGCAAGGCGGTACATAGAATGCACGTTTGGGATATTAGCCAACAAATGGAGAATTTTTCACCGCCCACTAGATGTCCGACAGGAACTTGCAATAGCCATAGTACAAGCTTGCTGTGTCTTACATAACTACGTGCGCGAAAGGGACGGGTATAGGTTTCAAGACACACTGTACGTTCCACCAGAACTGGAAATAACCGGTGGACCCGCAAATAGAGGAAGCCGATCATCAGCATCCTATAGGGATTTATTTGCGGATTATTTTATTAATGCAAATCCGTTAGAATGGCAAAACAGATATGCATTAGAATAGTGCCTACCTATTTATCTAAATAAAACATTGAAGTGAAAATACCTAGTTAAGTACCAAAAAAGAACAATAACGAATACATAGTTATTCTGCGATACTTTACAAAAATATTGATTGGTGTTGCAGAATCACCTGTATTATACTGTATAATCCAGATAATAAAAATACATGCTTACCAAATTCTTTTTTGTCATTTTCTGATAAACTTTCCGAGCACATTTGGTTCGTGATTTCTTCCCATCTCCTTTTCTTTAAATCCCGATCACTGTATTCTTCCGATGTTATATCCCAAATTGCTTTACGGCTTTCAATTTCCCGAATAAATTTCTCTGTATCGAAAGTCATCTTATCAAAGTTCAGAACGCAAAATACGTCTGGCTGCTACAACTAGTGCGCGGAGACTGACCGCAGCCACATACATTCGCCTACACACGCTCTGGCTGCGCGCAGCCAGCTGGCTGCCGTGCATATAGGCGCGTTTCATTGGCTGCCGCAGCCGAGATTTCGTGGCTGCCTAGTGCGTGGGCTCCCGTACAATGTCATATGTTTGACTGGCTGCCGCAGCCTGGCTGCCGCAGCCAGGCTGCCTAGTGCGCGGGGGCCCTTACTAAACACAAACATAAACAAAATTTAATCAAGAGATAGTATCTTGTTTATTACTGAATTTGGCAACAAAGTATTTAAGGTGTATTTAAAAAATGGGAAGCAACGTATTTACAATGATTTTAATCACATAACTTATTAAATGTTTTATTCAGAAATGTACAAGTACTTACACTTCCCGGTAACGGAGCAAATGTTCAAAGTGTAAGCCACAGCGTTCCACACACAATCGTGCATGTTTTACCTGATTGGCTTTCAATTTTAATAACGTGTCTAAGTCACGTCAAAGCATCCACTATCGCACTTATTAACGCGTCGCGAGTTTCGTATTTTTGCCGATACTCAAGGCGTTTGAGATTAGACCACAAATAAAAGTCTAGTGGAGTAAGATCCGAGCTTCGTGGTGGCCATGGCACTGGCCCGCCACGACCGATCATCGACCATCGACCGTTTACACTAAACCGCACTTGATGCACCCATTCTCGAATAACGTGTGGGTTATTAAAAGCCCAAAAATGTTCATTCCTTTGGTTAAAAAGTCCAACTCGCGTAACCGTTGCCACATCTGTCCACAAAATATTCACGTTTTGATATTGAATTATCCAATTGCAAAAACTAATTCAATAATTCTATTTAATAGTATTTTGAGAATCTAGCGGGACAAAATAATTTTGTCCCATATTTATGTGTTATCAGATGGTAAAATATAAATGAAGGAATAAATAAACAATATAGTTTTAGACGTATAATTTAACAATAGAACATATTTTTACATCAAAGTCAATATAATAGTAAATACAATAAAAAAGTTATACAAAAACACATGCAGAAATTATGTCTTTCCCATGAAATAAAATTTTATGTACGCTTACTGGCTTTAGGTACCACGAATACTCCTTTAAATACAATTAACTTGTTGCCTTGAAGAATTCATTGAATTTTTCAAAATTTATATAATACCCGCTATTTATGGTCTGTAATATGACATGGAAGCGTTTGATAAGCTCAATATTGACACCAGTAATTTCTGCTGACTTTTCAGCATTTTGGAAAAACTTACGGGCTATATTTTCATCATTCGTCTTTCCGGTTTTTTGTTTTGGCATATCTACTAAAAGATCCAATTCGCTTCTAAACTTTTCTTGCAAGTACTTCTTTTTTTCAGCCAGTTTCGTTTTACTTTCTGCTTCTCTAGCCTGCCAGGTTTTTATATCCAGACGGTAAGATATGTGCAAGATGCATTCAAATAATCTAATCCAAGAATGCAGAGTTGACATGCCCAGAGATAGAAATTCACTTCTTACAGTCTTTTCTAAAATGAGTTCTTCATTATTCATTTCAAAAAGGCCAGTTGAAATATTTCAAGTGGCTTACTGGCTTTGACTCTTCAGTTCCCAAGTGTGTAATGTTTCCGTTTCACTAAGAAGCACTGTTTCCTTGTAGTACTTCTCTCAAATAATCTCCGTTTGTTTGTTAACGAAGTCTCCTGAGATTGTGTCAACTCGACTCGAAGACAGATATGGATAAGATGTTTGTAACTGTTCTTTGGAACCATTTAACATAACAATGACTCGCGTGTTCTGTTCCCAAATCATGATCCAAAAGTTGTTTCCCATGGTGTGATTGTTATTTTATGAGTGTCATTGTTAAATAAGTATTTTAAACTTTTTCACTTTCTGCTATTGTCTTTGTAATATTGTCTACGAGGCCGTTTGTGCTGTTGGAATCTTGGATAGTTTCTTAATATCATACATTTCAATTTTTATGAGATGCGTCGCTTGGTCTCTGTCGTCAGAATTTGTAGAGATGTATGATACGCCATCTCTAGCAGCTCGTGCCACAGTCGACGATAGCAGCTTCTTCCTTTTTAATATGGTGCGACTTCAAAAAATTGATCAATCGGTTGCGATTTCCTTTTTCCTCCATCGTCTGTGTTATTAACGACGATGACATCACTCTCTTCTTCGTGTTGGGGAGAGAGTGGCGAGTAGTAATACTGTTTATAGGTATTTTCATTATCGTCTGCGAAGTTGAATGATCTCTGCAACAACAGAGTTATCACGTTAATATCAATTTGTTTACACTTAATCTGACACACACAGACACGTTAGGAAACAACAACAGAAATACAAGTAAGTTTGTCAATAGAATAAACACTTACCTCCATGACCATTGATGCGTTGAAGTAAGTAACACAAACGTAGTATTGGTAGACGTACACAATCCACTGTGGTCAAACGACCATAGACTGACTGCATGACTGCAACTGTTCGATCTTATATAGCACCATTCTTATCTGAACTCTATGAGTCAACAAACTTATCTCACGTCGCAACAGGCATGAACATGTTTTGTGACTCCCACAAATCACTATCTTAATTACACATTACTATGACCACGTTATCTGAAGTAAATTCCTAAGTACAACGGAACTCTATGAGTCAACAAACTTATCTCACGTCGCAACAGGCATGAAGATCACTATGCGATTTACAAATCACTATAATTGAACATTCCTATGACAACCATTGAATAGATTGGTACTGCAATAAACTGCTAATAACAGTGATATCATGGATACACTAGAATTAAAAAAACATATGAAAAAGATTCATCCCAGTCTAGAAAATAATGTTTATGCTGCTAATAGACTACCTATGTATACACATGTACCAACGTATATAATATGCAATTTGGATGCGGATGATAAACCAGGCTCACACTGGGTAGCTGTACATATCGATGTGAATGGCATCGGTCAATTATATAAAGAATTTTCTCCTGATATAAAGAACCTATAACAATGGGTACATCGTAAGAACACAATATAACCTATATTCACATCGCGAAGAAACGAATATCTATTTAATATTTTGTTTTAGAAACTTACCCAGAATCTGGGACGAAATACACACAAATATTAATTAATTCAGGTCTTTCACTGGACCTGCACGACAACTTTTTAATAAAATTATAAGACACAGCACTTCTTCAGTCTGATCTTCTTTGTTGTAGAAATCGATTTCGAAAAAGGACGGTTTCTACAAAACTCCTACATTTATACCCCCTATCTTTCGATTCCACTACTGATCGAAGCACTAACCATAACCATATTTGGTAATATTTTGCACGATCCACTTCCTGATCCGAAGAAATCTCTAGATTGTGCCAGATTACGATCTGTGAGACCCCTACTGTCAGAAAGTGTTATTACAAAAGAATATTAGTGTGGAACTAGTGCCATCTATGTCACAGAGATAGTACTACTAACACTTGGTCGATGTGAAAGGCAAGATCCAATGTTGTTGATTATATTGCTAACGTCTATGTTAAATCGCAAAAGCGATGACAGATGGCGGTATTTAATAATTTATCCATTTTCCCTTATTTTGGGTTAACATATTTTTTTTTTATGTTACATACTTTACTGTACTTTATTATTAAGCTTTAATAGGATTTTATACTACCATGAATCGGTCTGTTTTCAAAAATTTCATACGGAGACTCATGTACCAAGTTTAGGCTGCCTATCCACCGGATCGGAGAGAGGTAGCGGAGCGGAGAAACGGAGTAATGCGGAGCGGAGTTGCGAACTGTGTCTGTCCACCAGAGAGGAGCGAGGCTGCGGAGCAGAGCGAGAAAGTAATGCGGAGCGGAGTTGCCACTGTGTTTTTCAATATGCGGAGCTAGGCCGCGAGTACGCGACGAGTCATTTCGAGCTCCCGGCGGCGGGCGATTGGTTTAGTTCTACGCGAAATGTCAGTGACAGCAGACATGTTATCGAAAAAGTTAATACGTTATTACCTTACATTGCTTGAGGAAGAAGAGTTGGAGTCAGAAGAAACCGAATTACTAACCGTATACTATTTGAACAATTCTATAAGGAAACATAGATTTTGGTTAAGAAATCATATCAAACATCGTTCAGAACACAGTGAATATTTTACTTTTTTCCAAACTGCTGATGAAGAAACTTTCGAAAAATCTTATAGAGTTTCAAGATGTACTTTTCATGAACTTCACTCCCTGATTGAACCATGTATTCGGAAACAAGACACAAATTACAGAAATTCAATCAGTAGCTGTGAAAGATTAGCAGTGTGTTTAAAGTAAGTACACATTTTGAAATCAAAGTAACTTTTATTTTTGCATACAGTCGATGCCATGTTATATTAATTTAAAAATCATAATCTGTCTCAAAGTTGTCCGCGTTTTCATTGGGTCCTGTTTGCTCTGCTGCAGATGTTTCAATATCCTGGGTTGTTTGAATTTGTGAAACGCTAGGAGTATTAATACTAGTGTTAATATCATTTGGAGCACTAGGAGTATCGATATCGATACTAGTATTGATATTATCTGTTGTAGGTGTTGATGAGGCTGTAGAATAACCATAATTATTCGGAGAATACCAACTATGTTGAAGATTACTTTCTTCAGCTGATATTACCGCATTAAAGCAGGTTTTTTTAATTTGTAGTTGTAAATAATACGGCAGCTTTTTCGCCGATGCAGCCAAATTTAAAAAAAATAAGTCTATTTCATCGTACTTATCACTAGCTGACATCATGTTTTTAACTTCTATCCGTTCTTGTTCCAACAGTTCGCGGCGTTTTTGATTTTTTTTCAAAAGATCTAGAATTTCATCGTTCTTTCTTTTTTTGGATGTGGATGGGAGAGGCCCAGAAGCTGTTGAATCATTAGGAACATCGACAGAAGGAAGATTATTTGAATTTGATGGCAACAAATTGCATGATTCCCGTGAACTCTCATCAATGGTATTTGGCGGATTTGAAGTTTCGCTTACTGAGTCATCCAAGGGCGCAAAATTTGATGACCGGTCTCTGTTACACATGTAAGGCAATAAGAATGACATGGCTTTCTGATATTTCCATTCTTTTCGTTGTTTTCTAGCCTGTCCACTCCTTGTTGCATTTTGTCTTTTTAAGGCATCTCGATGATTATCTCTCAGTTGTTTCCATCGCGACTTGGCAGTTTTAACTGAAACAATCAACAAACACAAACAATTATTCCATGGTCTATTTATAAAAAAATATTACTTTTATTTTTCAGGTATTT